AAAATCCAGAAAAAGAGATTTTATTTGCCATTATTGTCAGAAGCCGGGTCACATTGAGAGATTCTGCAGAAAGAAAAAGAGGGACATGTCCAGGGAGAGAAAAGATAAAAATGAGAATTCCGAGCAGAAGCCAGAAGAGAAGAACACTACAGCCTTGGCATCTAGTGATGATGATTTATTTGTTATCGGTGATCATGGACTATTAAATGTAGCCTGTGATGACTGCACCTGGGTGATTGATTCTGGTGCATCTTATCATATTACTTCACACAGGGAGTACTTCTCATCCTATACTAGTGGTGACTTTGGCCACGTGAGGATGGGAAATGATGGTTCGTCTAAGATCATCGGTATGGGTGATGTTTGTTTAGAGACTTCCACTGGTTGCAGGTTGGTGCTCAGGGATGTGAGGCACGTCCCAGATATCAGATTGAGTTTGATTTCAGCTGGTTTGCTTGATGATGAAGGTTATGCCAACAACTTTTGTGATGGAAGATGGAAACTTGGTTTGGGTGGTGATTAGTGGAAGTTTGGGTGCCGTTGTTGAGCGGCCGTGGTTTTCTCCCCGATTTGGGGTTTCCACGTAAATCGTGTGTTCTTTATTTTATTTCCGTTGCTATCTATTTGTGGTGGTGGTGCTGATTTTTGGAGTATATTGTGCTTTGTTGTTCATCTCATTTAATTTTGGAAAAAGATTTTATACGCTTCCGTTGTGTTTTGTTCCGTGCTTCCCCAACAGGAAATAGGTTAGGGGCGTTTGTGCACCATTTAGAACCCTTTGGTGCTCCTTTTATAATCCATGGGGGGACCCATGCTATTTACCTTTTTCTTTAATATTTTTTTGGAAAAAAATACTCAAATAATCTCTTCTTGTTTATAATTCTTCTAATATAAATTGAATTACAAAAAAAATGTTAAATATGGTAAGACAATGACTACACTACTTTATTAGTGCTAAAACTAAAACAAAAAAATGTCCAATTAAGAATTGGAGAGAAAAAACAGGTGTTTGGGCCTACTAGAATAGCCCAAACCTCAAAAGCTCAAAGTGAACAAATTAGATGTACGAGCACAAAGCCCAAATTAAATCACATCCAAATAGAAAGCTCGAAACTTTTGGATTGGCAATCGAGCCCAAAGATCTGCTTGGTGGGTCATCACATTGAGAAAACCCAAAGAAAGGCCCCTCTAGAAAACAAAAAAGAAAAATAGACGTAAATATAAGCTTTGTTCTTTTCGGTTGAAAAAATAACTTTTCACCTATTTTTTTAAACTTATTCTATTTTTTCTAACTCGTTTAAGTTTTTACCAACAACGATTTGAAAAATATATTTACAAATGATGACTTTACAATAACATTTTATTTCCAAACTTTAACAAAATACCTCTAACATGGATAAATATGAATTTTTATGTTCAAAATTAGTTTTTTAACACCTTACCTTTATTTGAGTGATTACTTAATTGAGTGATTTTCTAATATTTTTTTTCCCAAAAATTTCCCAACTCCTAGTTTTTTCTAACTTCTAGTTTTTTCTAATTCATTCTAGTTTTTTCCAATTTTTTCTAATATTCAACTTTAGAATTCTAACAAAAAAGAACATAACTTTGTGTGTTGGGAAAATCATAGATAACACGGATTTGTTTGAGAGTCGTGCTAGCAATTTCAAATTGATTATTTGGGCGTTCACTCCAATCAATCAGATAAAACTCCAATTATTGATAAAAAACAAGTATTTCCTCCGTCCCAAAAAGAATGGGACGGTTTGACTTTTTGGTAAATTAAGGGAGGGATATTTTGGTATTGACTTTCCAAAAATACCCTTGATGTGATGGGTAAAAGTAGGATGTAATGGGTAGATTATTAGGAAAAAGGTATGATGTGATAGGTAGGGTATGAAAAAGTAAGGGGTAAAAGTAGTTTTTTAATAGAAATGTAACGAACTTTACGGGACGCAGTTTTTTCTAAACGTAACAAACTTTTTGGGACGGAGGGAGTATATATTATGATGAATTTTCCGAAATCTATATCTTTCGACCAAATTTTGCCGGGGTTTTATAGAAACGAAGAGAAGAGATGCTCAATCGCATCTTTTATTCTAAAGTTCACGTATAATCGCGCGGAACTTTGGCAATTTTTCAGTAATTTGTTTATACCCAAATTCCAAAAATTAAAAATTCAAGTAAAAATTTTTAACACATCCCATTCTCCAAAATAAATGACTCCAGTCTGGGGCACTGTCCCTTGGACCCCGCAGGGGCTTCCGCCTTTTGAACCTTGCTCTTTAGCATGTCTATAGTACACCATTTATCATTCACTTCAAATCAATTGCTATAGCTAATAACACACATCATTTTTCTCACATATAACACGTGTAGAACTTAACTTGCATTGCAATATTTACACATTATTGTTATTTATTTATATATTTTTATTAATTCATTGAATAAAATATTCTTATCATTTCTGGTTTTATAGAAATTTTGACATAGATTTTTAATATGTAAGCTTATTTTTTACTCTTATACCATTTTTTTAATACTATGATTCTAAAAAGTATTGGGTTTTGCCTCGTAATTCTAATAATTGCAATCAATTTTGAGACAAAGGGAGTGTGTCTTTTAAAATAAAAATTAAAAAAATATTCTTTTTCCACTTTCCTATTTCAGTATTTTTTTGGTATTTTTATTTAAATTTATTACAATTACCAGTCTTTTATTATTTAGCATTTGTTGGAATTATTTTCCTATTTTAGTTGTTGAATGTTTTACCATTTCTTCGCTTTGTGAAATAACATGACCTTTTTTAGTGCAATAACATAACCTTTTTATTTGTTGATGTCCCACATATTTTATCACTCTTTATCTTTCTCTATTTTAGAAATATATTTGTATCGAAAATACTTCGCTCTTTTCTAAAAAAATTTCAATCATTTACTTTTTTTTAAGGAACAATCGTTGAATTATTAATGTTCACAATTATTTCTACAAATTTTTAATCTTCGTGAAGAAAAATGAGCAATTTTATATGATGAAGAGAGTATTATATATTATCATTATTATTATTGTTGTTGTTATTATTATTATTAGTACCAAATACTATAATAATAAAAAAGAATTATATAATCATATGTAATAACATTATTATTCAATTACTCTATATAATTGTGTGTAACATTAAAGTGTGTAACCTGATTTAATTGTATAGCAATTAATATTTCATCCTAGACAAAATAATAATATTATTTTCAATATTTCTTAGCCTGATATGTCTGATATGATATGATCTTAAATGAAGTAACCTGATATAATTCTAGTGTGCAAAACACTCTGAGTATGTTGTTTTTAATTATATAAATTTTATTTTAAAATTGTATATCACTATTTAAATAAATTAAATTGAAAATAAATTCAATCAACTAATGTCATCTAAGATGAGACTTTATTTCAAAATAGATAGATTATGCAATTCTTTTTCTTCAAAAAAAACCCAAATTGCACTGGGAGGTAATGCAGTTAACCATAATGAGGTGAAATTGTGGAAAGGGTGAAATGAAGAAGGGTATACCTAAAAGAAAGGGTAATATTGTCAATCCCAAAAAAAAATTAAGATGTGGCCGGATCGCATCTATCAAATTGTGAATATCAAATATCAACTTCCAAAAGTTTTGTAATCCCTCCGTCCCTGATTTGAAATCAAATTAGGAATTACGAGACAAAACTTCTCGCCTTTTGAAATCATTTTATTTATAAATTGGTACATCAATAAGAAATAAAAATTACATACTATAAAAAATTACATAAAAAAATCGACAAAACGAGAGGTGACAAAAATATTTTATTTTATCAAATACTCAATGAAAATACTCAAATAAACAAAAGTTATCGAGAAAATAGAGAAAAAAATGATCATAATTCACTACTACAAAAAATACTTTTTAAATCGGTTATTTTGACCCTTTTAAATCGGTTTTGAACCGATGCAAAAGCCAGCGATGCAAATGCTCATGTTACTTTTTGCATCGGTTGTAAAACCGATGCAAAAGCCTCTTCCCAGAAATAGCGCCAATTCTGGGAAGAGACTTTTGAATCGGTTATTAATGGTTATTTGTTAATAACCGATTCAAAAGCCTCCCTTTTGAATCAGTTATTACCAAATAACCGATTCAAAAGTTTCTTCCCAGAATGTGGCACTCTTTGACTATGAATTAAATATAGTTTAAAATAATTAAATATAATAAAAAATTAATATTTTAAAACTATATTTTAAAATAAACCTAATTTTACTAAATTTACATTATAACTTAACACGGAGTATAAGACGTTTTCTATGATTTGCGATTGAAGTATGCAGCAATTTGACTAAATTAGTCAAACTGTAACAATCTTTTAAAAACAAAGAGTATTCCGTATGGTGTTAGGTTTTACCCAATGGAGTGCTACGTATGGTGTTACGTTTTACCCGCACCAGCTTAAAGCAGATAGGAGTCACTATTTTGATTTTTTTATCCCGCAAAGAATACAAATTGTCCGCTACTTTTGACTTTTTAATGGAAAATGGTATTTGACTTTTATGAAAAATTAAGAAATACTCCTGACCAATGACTTGAGCCCAATCTTTAATTAATTGCTCATAATTTAATTTGCTGGCTCCGGCATCCATTTTTTGAAGGTGTCTGCCCTTTAATTAAGGATAGATATCTCATTGTATACTTTAATTGGTCTGGTTCCGTTGCCATTGAGCAACAATGCCCTTAACTTTTATTTTTAGGCTCTTCTTACAAATTATAATTGATGATTATATTCGTGTATTAATATCTGCTAGCTAGGTTCTTCTCATTTCGAAGTATGATGTTTGATATAAGTTATTTTCAATTCAATTTTTATGGATGTTGGTGTAAATGTAAAAAAATCACATATTTAAAAAATACTTTAAAAGATCTACAAATTAAGGAGTGACAAAATTATTATTTTTTGAAACCAAGCAATTAAATTAGGAAACCAAGGGAATAAAGTTTGGGGGAGTGTCAAGCCACTCCCCTACAACATCATCATAGCAACTACTACGCGCTAACAAATGCGCTGCCTCGTTACCGGAACGAGGAGTAAAACGAAATCTAAGGTCTCCTGCACAGAGAATTTGGAGACGCTTACAATCTTCAATGATAGAATTAAAGTAAGACCAGTCTCTGATAGCACTATTAAGTGAATCGACCACCTCTTTACAGTCTATTTCCACAAGGACTTGTTTCCAGCCTTTACTTTTAATCCAACTAAGTGCTTCCTTAACTGTTATAGCTTCTGCTTCACGTGGACCAAAACTCCCTCTACATTTAATACTCTTAGTAGCTACGAATCGGCCTTCATAATCTCGCGCAATAAATCCCAGGCCCACACTATCAACAAGTCCTGATGAAGCATCCACATTCACCTTTAAATAATTCACTAGTGGCCTTTCCCATCCATTTGTTGCACCAATTTCAACTCTAAGATTAGTCGACGTAGAATTCTTCTTTGGGGGAGCCATCCTCCACCAGTCTTCATAGTCCCTATACGTCCGCGTCCAGACCTACAAGGGAGAGCGTCTCACTCCCTTCCATACCTTTGCATTACGCGCCGACCAGATCATCCAAAGAAGATGGAGCGCTAAGCCCTTATCATACTCATTAAATAAAT